GCCCACTGCTCCCCTCAGCAGCGTACTTCATCAGTCTGCCTGTTCTGTTCCCTGCTCTGGCTCTGGTGAATTCTCTCACCCTCCCGCGCTTCTGACTTGCACCCAGTGCTTGTAAAAATAAATAAATCTTTAAAAAGTAATCAGACTGATAAGGTCAAAAATTTTAGGAAGCTACAGGAGAAAATATTCTACCAAAAATGAAAGAGTGTACCAAGAAAGAGGAAAACAGAGAACTTGGGAAACAAATGAGAGGTGAGAAAAATGGCCTCTGACCTCTTGAGTCACACCTCAGGATACCTCGTTACATCCTTCAGTCTTGGCACAAGTGCTGCTCCTTGATTTTCTCCTTTTTCTTCCCCTCCTCAACCCTAACTCAGATACCCTAGCTATGTTACCATGGCCATTAAAGGTAAACCAGTAAATTTCTCATTTGAGTTGTCCTGGCCTTTAGGAATTTATACTGTGCCCAAGCCCTCGTGGATGGGCTTTTAGATTTCATCCCAGTTGACTAAGTTCAGTTAAGGCCCTTGGGACTTGAGTTATATGACCAGGAAAGACTAGAGCAATTGTGTATAAGCATCCCTCCAGAAAGATTATACTGTCCATCAGAAACCAAGCCCTTAGTTTTAGACTATTAGACAAAATTAGAGATTTTCTTAGGTCAGGTTTCCTTTTATTTCATCATAATTTCAGAACGCCAAGAGATAAAAATATGCTGGTGTGGAGTCTTGTCTGCCTGAGCAAAATAGAAACGCTGGCAGACATGGCTCACTTGGTCCTCAGGTGGCAAGTGACTTTCTCCCCAACCTACAGCAATGGTTAATGGGCATGATCAGCAAGTGCTTCCAAAGGGACAGGTGTAGTGTGAGTCACAGGTGACATCCAGACAAGGTCACATGTACACTCTGATCACACACTACCTCACCTATCACAAGTTTAAAGGTTACATCCTATCCCAACCTGTTTCCCTCTTCTAAGCAGTGGGTACTTTCCAAATACCTAATAGAAAATAGCTAGAAAGCATGTTATCTACACAAAGAGAAAACGGTCATAAGAATTTTGTACATATTAGCCTCCCTGGTGGCACAGTGGTTGAGTGCTGGGTTACGAAGCTGCCAGAATTTTGTACATATTGCATGACTCTCCCTTTGTGTCTTTTGCGAAGGAGACACCAATCTCAGTGTAACTTCCTTAAGAATAATAGACACTGTCACAGTTTACTAATCCCATTTGTTTCCCAGGAGAAGGGAAAGATTATTAATTACACAGCATGGGTCAAGGGTCATCAGGACCATAAAGCGGGTTGCAGATCAAGGCTTTGCCCCCAGAGCATGATCTGACTCCTGGTACATCTGCACAGAAGTCTGCAGAAGAACAGCAATTTCCACACTTGCTTATGAATTTTTATAACATGGTAAGTGCATAGGTATCAGGGCTTTTGGCAAATGGATTGAAAGACTGCTATTTCTGGTGCCTTGACTAACCAAGCAAATGCAAAGCTGGATGGTATTATATTTGCAGCAAGGCAGCCCCTTCTGAATAAACAACACTCTAAGAGATGTAAGACCTCCTACTTCCCCTTCCCCCAGTGACAGCTTTTCTCATTTTCTTTGCCTTAATGCTTTCTGATCAACAAAGTAGAAGATAGAAAAAAACCCACCAAAATTAATATATCACTTGGTTATGCTGTCACACCAAAAAAAAGCTAATTGTAATTCATTGTGAGATATGCAAAATTAGGAATGCCTCAGGAAAACAAATGATGCAACCTGTTAACGTGTCTTCCCAGAATGTGGGGCAGGGTGGGTAAGACAGGCCAGTTATGAAAGCCTCCCGGCATCAGGTTAGTGCCTTAAAGGATGATTCAGAGTTTGCCCTGCAAATATAAGAAGGAAGGCCACTCCTGTTGAAGGAATGAACAATACCATTATCATTGTTTTTGCCATCAACACTATCACTGCCTCTTTCACCACTCTCTTTAGAGTAGAAGCCACTTAAGTTCTCCTTTGGTGGCTTTGCAAAAAGACAAAAGCGGGAATTAAAAAGCAGTCCCCAGGACACCACCTTTCTAGGTCAAATGAGTGTTATTTCCCAATACTGATAGCAAAGTCAATATCTTTTTTATTGCCATCCCTGGACTTAAATTCTGCCCTTTTCCTAGAACAGAAGGAGAAAAGCAATCCAGATGCCTACTCTAGAATCTGGACAGTACTCCTCACTCATTCTTAATCTGCAATCCTTATTGAGTCAATAGCATCAAGATCTCTATTCCACAGCTATTTTTTTTAATAATTTTTTTAATTGAGGCAACATTGGCTTAACTTGTTGTTGGTGTTTTGGAAGGATAGGATCCCCCCTTCAGGTTAGCATCACCACAGTGCACTGTGCTCCTCCCACTTTGCTCTCACCCTCTCCCTTCCTCTTGATGCTTGCGTTCTGTAGTCAGCTTTCAAAATCTATTTTTCAAGTTTATCTTTATATGACCCCTTGTTTAGTTTCTCTATATTCCACATATAAGTGACACCATCCAGTATTTGTCTTTTCTCCTTCTGATTTATTTCACTTAGCATAATCCCTTCCAACTCCATACATGTTGACACAAATAGCATGAGTTATCTTTTTCTAATCACTGAGTAATATTCCATTATGTATATATACCACATCTTCTTGATACACTAATTTTTTTGAAGCAATTAGGTTGTTTCCATGTCTTGGTTATTGCAAATAGTGCTGCAGTAAACATAGGAACTCAGTTTCCTTTAAAATTAGTGCTTTTGGATTCTTCAGGTAGATACCTAGGAGTAAAATTACTGGGTCATATGACAGATCCATTTTAAATCTTCTGAGAAACCTCCATATCATAGCTATTTTTTCAACAAGAGGATATATCCAAGTTTATCTCAGGAAGGTTCCATCTGCCAGGAGGAGGAAATCGTTTCCTGAATACAAACTGCCCTGGCCCCCCTCCCTATCTCCAAGGCATCTGAGATTTTTCACGCCTGTCTCACCATGGCCCAGATAGTTCTGGAACACTATTAAAATGTTCACATAAAAAATAACAGTAATAATGATTTATTTCAACAGCCTCAGAGCCAAATGCTGAATTTTCCTGAAATTCCTCTTAACACTCCTAACATTTTTCTCTTATTTTGGCACATTAAGATCATTATTATTCACTGGTGATCACTATTACAAAATCAAGGGAAAAATACTGACTCTCAAAATCAAAACAATTTCAAGTACTAAAAATTTGGATATAAAATATGATGCATCTCCCACACTTAAACAGACAGTAAATTTACAACAAGGAACCAAGAGTACACAATGAGAAAGGTGCTGGGAAAACTGGACAGCCATATGCAAAAGAATAAAAGTAGATCACTATTTTACACTACATAGAAACAAACTCAAAATGCATTAAAAACATCAATATAAGACATGAGACCATAAAATACATAAAAGACACACAGACAAAACACATTGGCTTCATAAACATCTTTGAGGAGACTCAACTCCAACAGCCAGGGAAACAAAAGGAAAAAGAAACTAATGGGACTACATCAAACTGAAAAGCCTCTGCACAGTTAAAGAAACTATCATTAAAATGAAAAGACACCCTAGAAATGGGAAAGATATTTGCACATCCTACATTCAACAAGGAGCTAAGAAGAAAAATACAACTCAACAAAAAAGAAAACAAATAACTCAGTAAAAAAGTAGATAGAAACACTAGATACCTCACCAAAGAAGACATACAGATGGCCAACAGACACATGAAAAAAAAAATGCTTATCATCCGTTATTTTTTTTTTTATAGAGGCATGTTTTATTTATTTATTTGTTTGTTTGTTTGTTTATACATGCACTGGGTACAGTCAGAAGCGCGGGAGGGTGAGAGAATTCACCAGAGCGGGGAGCAGAGCAGGCAGAGGGACCGAAGTACACTGCTGAGGGGAGCAGCGGGCGGCAGGAGAGGTCTGCGCGCCATGTGGGACCCTCCTCTGGTGGCCGGGGAGCAGCCGGGGATCGAACCGGCGCCGCAGAGGCTGCAGGCAGACTCGCAACCCAGCGCTCAACCGCTGCGCCACCGGGGAGGCCCTGCTTATCATCCGTTATTATCAGCAAAATGCAAATCAAAACCATAATGAAATACTACCTCACACCTGTGAGAACGGATTATGATAAAAAGACCCAGAAACAACAAGTTAGGCAACAATGTTGGAGAAAGGGAATTATTGTACACTGTTGGTGGAAATATAGACTGGTTAAGTCCCTAAGGGCAATGTTATGGAATTTTGTCAAAATATTAAATATATACCTGCCATATGATCCAGCAATTCCATTCCTAAGTATCTATCTAAAGAGTGCAAAAACACTAATTCAAAGGGAAATATGCACTATTTACAATAGCCAACTTATGAAAACAATCTAAGCCCCCAAAGGCAAATGATTAAGAAGATGTGGTATATATGCACAATGGAATACTACTCAGCTATAAAAAATTTATGAACTCTTGCCATGTGAAAACATGAATGGCTCTGGAGGGGATTATGCTAAAAGAAATAAGTCAGAAGGAAAAAGACAAATACCAAACGATTTTACTCATATGTGGAATATGAGTAGAAATATTGAGAAACCTAGAAATCTGTCTGTACAACTGATAGTACCAGAGGAGGCAGGTGAAGGTAGAGTGTAAAGAGGGAAGGGGGCACAGTCAAATATGGTGGAGGACTATGCATACTTTGATAGTAGGTATGGTAATGATTACACCTGAAGAGCTATGAACTTATACCTCTAAGTCATATACAGTGTTGAAAACCAACATTATCTCACTAAAAATAATACAATTTTAGAAATAATACAAAATAAAATATGTTGTTTTTAAGGGCTTCTGTTTGAAAGTACACGTCAGTTGTATTTGACATAGAAGATTCAGATGGTTAGGCAGAACCAATATGAGTAATAAGGAAGAAGGAATTTGTAATAAAAATTGTACTTACACAATTATGGGAAGAGTGGGGCAGACAAAGATGTAAATGAAGGCACAGAGCAAAGTCAGGAACGAGTCACAACTTGCAAGGAGCTCTGGAAGTCAGCACATCCTGCTGCTGGGTGAGACCATGAAGTCTATGGAAGTTTGTTGGCTCTTCATGGCTGCCAGCTCTGTGCATTGTCAACAGTGTCCAGTGATGGCCTGGAGTGACTTTTGGTGGGCAAGGCCAGCATCAAGAAAGAGGGAAGAGCAAGAACAAACGAATCTGATGGCACCACTGGATTCTTCTCTTATTGCCTGTAGGCAACAAAAACCTTCAGACATGATGGATGCTTCTCTCTTGTCTACCAGAGCTCAAGCAACTTCCCTTTGCGCCAACTCCAATCTGGAATTACATGTAGAAAGAGAATCTAAAAAATGTAGTTCCCAACATAACCAAGTAGACAATTGAAGATTGATATTTTGACTTACTAGACTTCCAACAACTCATTGTGTAGATATATGTAAATACTCCACTTCAAGCTCAGCAGGCCCAAACCGAACACAACACTGTGCCCCTGATTTCCTTTAAAGAACAACAACACAAACACAAACAAGAAGTATTACCCAGTTTCTATTACCTGTAAGTGGTTCTGCATATTCTATACTCTAGGTATCAAACATTCTTTCTTTCCCTGCATCTCAGCAGTTCCTGTCTTACATCAAGCTTTCATCAATGCTCCCCTGCATTAAGGAAATTGCCTCTTGCCACCCTACCTTGAATCTCACCCTGCTTCCATTAAATATTTTTGTGACTCCTTATCCCCTACTATATGGATTTTCTTGGTGTAGTATATAATACCCTCACATTCTCATCCTCATCTACTTTTTTGGCCTCATTTACTATTCTATCCCCAAACACATTATGACCCAACTGCTCTAACATACTTACAGAATAACAAATCACAAATGCCTGTGTGTCTACCCTCTCAGCAAAGGATTCATTTCCTCATCAATATCTCCCTGCAAATCCAGTTGCCTGGAAAACTCTTGCTCACCCTTTAAGATGTGACTCAAATGCAGTCACTCTTGCAGTGTCTTCCATGTTTCCTCATCTCCACCCAAGTCTAAAGATAGTTCATGATGCTCTACTAACGGTGGCTACCACTTGGCACTTTATATTACGTGTGCTCATTTTCTTGTTGATGGCCACACTAAGACTCCCTTGATGTTAAAGATCCATTCTTCTTCATCTTTATAGTCCCAAATACTAACACTTGGCAAATGATAAGGGTTCAATAAACATTTAGTTAAGAAATTGATGGATTACAAGAACTGAGATGTTTAAATATTTTATTCTATATTTATAACTGCTTCCAATCAAATCATGCTTCCCATGAAATATAAGTTAATTTTTTAAAAAAATTGATTTATTTGGAAGTAATCCGATAAATGTAGATGGCCAAATATTGAAATTCGGTCAGAATCATGAGACAGTCTTATATCATATGACTTCACTGATCAGATTAACAAGATTATTCCTAAATCTCAATTTTACTGGTGCTGTTTAAACACAATCTTGACCTGCAATTGGAATATAGAACAACAAAGGAAACATCTGGTTTTTCTTAACTTTAAAGTGACAAACCCATTTGTTAACAGTAGCAATGGGAGAGCCGAGAGTACTTGATAACAGCTCTAACATGGGGCACTTGGTCCAAAACAGATGGCTCAGACATTTCAGGGAAAGCTTTAAAAAGATGTCTTTTCTAATTCAGGTTACATACTCCTTGAAAGTTCCTTCAACATAAACATAAAAGTTTACAGATGTTATTGACTCTGACAGTTCTGTCTAGAGGTTAGTGTGCAACCGCCTCTCAAGGGTAGTTTGTTGAATTTTGTTTTTCAAAGTAAGTAAAGGAAAGAATGTTTGCAATAGGCTAGCAAACTGGAAGTCCAAAGCAGTTTGCATCATTGCTGATTTTCTGAGCTTGACCCTTGACTGGTCACATTTTGTGCTCTTATTTTTTAAATTCTTCATTAGCAAACCAAGTTTAGTCCAGATCTACTGCTGTTTCCTCTGTGTCCATACATTAATAGTAATTATATTTAGACTGAAGGTGTTAAACAAAAGGTCAAAATCTGGCCAATGCAAAAGTGTTGGAACCATCTTTATTAGACTATGAGATATGTTAACAAATTATCTGCATTCATTACAGTGATTCTAATCAGACCTTTCAAACATACTGTTAGTTTTCAATGTCACTAAGACATATATTCACTCAAAGTATTAAATTTTAGATCTACTTCTAAACTGCCTAATTTACTTTTGAACTTCCCAAATATCCTATCTCTACATTGATTATTATACCAATCAAACATTGGAATAGGAAAAAAAAGTCTATTATATTTAGACAAGTAATTATTAAGACAGTAATCAATAATTTAGACAGTAGTTAATAAGAATTACATACCAGAATACTTCCTAATGTAATGTTCCCTTATTACAATAAAACCAGCAAACTGTTTGGTATATTTGCTCCAAATGGACTGGCTTCAGAAAAATTAAGTGCAATGCTTATTTTTTTAATCTTATCATTTTCATCAAACTTCAGAACTATTTTTATAGCTGATAAAACTGGCCCAGGATAAGTGTCAAAGCACTCAAGTTAACAATAAAACCTAGAGCTGCTGTGATTTCACAAATCCACACACTTACACATTTTTAACCTGCTATCCATAAAGAAATTCTGACCAATGAAGAAAACATTTATTTTCATTAGGCTATTCCTTTTGTATTAGTGCCAGTTTAAATTAACAGATAGAATGGATAAGCTAGTAGTTAGAAAGTAATGCATAAAAAACAAGGGTTTTCCATTTTTCTATCCCAAATGCTTTTACCAATTTACCTCGTTAAAAAAAAAAAAAAAAGAAAGAAAAGAAAAAGAAACCACCAAGGGTGCTGAGGGGAGGGGGAAAAAAGGGGGAAAGAAAAGAAAGAAAAAGAATTAATACAGCTGTAGCCAGGGAAGTTTGATATGTAAAAGAGGGAAACCTAGGGTTTTTCGCAAGTCTTTATCATCTGAGAGGACAGAGACTCTTCAGAAGTCTTTTTTGGACTCCTGGCTATACCATGTTGTGCTTCCCCTTTTGTTTCACATTCTCTAGGTCCCAAAGGAGATTTCAGGGGTCATGAAAACAGAAATACTGGGAAAGAGGATTCCAGTTTCTTTTCACACCAGGAGGTATGGGTCCTCTGTACCTATAGCCCACTACAGAGGCAACCCTGACTACCTAGGACCCTGCTGCAACCTGTGCAGTGTTTTACAAGTGAACAATATAGGTGGTGCCTGCACCTTTATTCTGCTCTGCAACATCCAGTCCCTAAGGGTCAAGCAAACAGAGAGCAGTCACGTCTTCAGTTATGATTGATTTTGGAACAGAGAAGAAAGGTAAACGAGAGGAAGCCTCAAGTTCTGCTGCTCCACGTTAAATGACTACATCATTGAACAAAGGACTGGGACACTTTTAATAGTTGCAATGGGAAGTGCAGGAGTTCTGGAAGAGACAGACTTAAGCCAGTTGCACGACCTGGAATGAGTTACGTGATCTCTCTGAAGTTCATTTCTCTGAGTGTATACTGAGAAGGATTATGTCTATCCTGGAATATTGTCATGAGGACTTAAGGAGAATTCAAATACATTACCGATCCATGGTAAACATTTAATAAGAGAGCTAAATGCATTATACCTTTGCCTGATTTTAGGAGGGAGGCAATAAACTGGATGTGAAAATAAACCAAATCGCTAACAAAATTGCCATACCCAATGGGGATGGTAATTTATTTTTAATTTTTCTGCCTTCAGTTTCCTAGGCCTTCTGATTAAAACCGTGATACTTGTAGCTTCAAGAGCCTAACAGTGTTGTACTTGTCCTCAATATTGAATATGCTCAGTCATATTTTTAGATAACATTGCATGTTTTATTTTTAGAGAGCCTAGTCACAAGCAAATGGCCAATACAAATCAACACAAAAGCAGTTCATGTTGAAAGTGCCCCGTTCTGGGGTTGGATTTCCATTCTTGAAGGCAAAGTATGCCAAAGTATGTTACCTATTAAAGTAATTTTAGAGAAAATTTTACTGAAAATTTTGGGGGAAGGGGAGAAGCAAATTTTGTTTTTCCAAAAGAATTTTCAGAATCTTCCATATTCTGAAATATATGCTGTGTCTTTGAAGAGGCAAGAGGAATCCTATACCCCCAAATAGTATTTTCCCACAGAAATTATTTGAGGAAACATCAGCTGAATTCTTCTTCTTGTCCTTTTACAGAGACATTTTCCATAGGCACAATAATAGGGGTGACGTGGCAGGTGAAGTGGGAAGAGCAAAGAGAATCCAAGAACAAATACTCTAAGACAAGCTTCACAAATCCTAATGGATACAAGACACCATCAAAAGTAGGCTGGATGCATGGAAGAGAAGACGATATGACAGTGGCAAAGTGCAGAATATACGTTCTATTCAATTCAAACTTTTAGAAAACATTCTGTGAATCAATGCCTATCTGTGGGCCTGCCCTCCACAGTTTGCCAACATGAAGACCCTGTCCCAAGAAGAATTTTTTATTGTTTTTTATTTTTTTATTGTTATTGTTTTTATTTTTATTTCAAAATTTGTGCTATGTAAGTGGACTTAAAGGACCTTTGAAGATCTAAATTTTTTTTTGAAGATTTACTTATTTAAGTGTACAAGAACTGGGGTACAGGCAGAGGTATAGGGGGTGAGAGGATTCACCAGAGAGAGTAGGGAGCACAACAGGCGGATCTACTGAAGTACACTGCTGAGGGGAGCAGCAGGCAAGACAGGAGAGATCTGCTGTACTGAAGATGCAAATTTTAATGTGTTTAAGAGAGGACAGGAAAGATGTGGCGTATTTAGGGCAGAGTGCTGCTATTCCTCTCTCATTTGATGATGGCAACCCTTAGGCCCATCTCAGCGGTAAGACATCAGATTCTTTTTGTAGTGTGCACTGTGTGCTATCCACAAGGATGTGGATATGGGTAGCTCATGTCTTTTGAGCACTTATATTTTACCAGATACTATTCCATGTACTTTACTAAAGATCCACATTTCATCCTCACAATAACCCTATCATATCCCATTTTGCGCAGAGTTTAAGCCACTAGCTTCTATTTACAAAGCTAGCAAGCAGCAGCACTGGCATGGAAATCTAGACCATTGGCCCTAAAATCCACATTCTTAATTACTGTGCTAAACTCTTCTTGGAGCTTGCTTCCCATTTAAGGAATTCACTAGTCTGGAATACTTTAGGGCACAGGGGACAGAAACCAAGTTAACAGTGTCTGGAACAAGTATTTTTCCACAAATTAAGAAATCTGGAAGCAGGTGTTTACTGGCATTGCTGCTGCTACTCTGCAAAGTCAGAATTAACTTCTTTCCTTGTGGTAGCAAGATCTAGGCAACATATATAAATGAAGTAAGCAAGAAATGGGAAGGGGTAACTCCAGCTTGTTAGGTGGCTTCAATCAAGAAATCAAACTCATTCACAGACTTTGGCTAAACCCCATTGCCAGAATTACATCACATGACTGTGTCAGCTGCAAAGGAGTCTGGGAAAGCAAATTTTTCCTTTCTTCCAGTTCCAAAAGTGGAGGCAGGCAAGGGAATATCTGTTTGGGAACAGGTGCTGGCTTAGCCAGCCAACAGTTTCACTACAAGGGGATTGGGTGGGTTAGGAAAATACCAACAGAACTTCATCATACAGTATGTCACCCATGCCATAGACACAAGGAAAATTAGGCAGTAACAAATAAAGTTTGCTCAAAACTAAAAGTGAACTGTAAAACTGCTGCTGCCTTATCAAAGTATCTGCCTCTAGCCATTTCAAAAATATAAAATTAGTTCTAACCTTTTTTCCTGGTCAAACCTACATATTATGTAAAAACAATTTGATCTTCACACACTCAAATACTTTTAGTTATTCTATTCTTTTCTTATTTATGTTACTTTTATAAAATGTTTATCCCCATATTTACAGCTAATAAATCAAAATGGCAATTTTTCATACAGTTCCAAAATTGAAGGGAAATTTATCAGTAACTAGAAACTGGGCAACTTCAGTGTTGAAAATATACAATAGCTTATTTGGATTATAATCCAAATCCAAAATTTATTTTCCAATTTGTATTGGCTTTTCTGGGTCATTCTACCATTTTAATTGTAATTTTTTTCTTTTATATTTTTATCATGGCACACAAACTCAGAAAACCTGTTAAGGCAACTACATAATGCAATCTAAAAATCCAGTTAGCATATTGCTATGGAAACCAGGAAATAGAAACAGCACTCTAATCATTCCTTTAGACAGCGATGGCTAAGCATGTGTGTGTGTGTGTGTGTGTAAACAGTTTATTCACCTTTTATTGAAAGCTGGTACTGAACCCAAAATCTATAATTGATCTGTCCATAAAGAGGCCTAGTGCCCTCCAACCTAAATTAGCATTTTAATATGAGCCACATTGTTTAATTATGCCATGTGATATCAGGAAATCTTGGGTATGACCACATTGTTTATTTAGCCATACCAGGCTGAGGCCCCTTGGCTAGTGTGCAGAACACCTGACTGGGATTTGAGCCCTAGATTCTAAGTGCTCTTTTACTAACCAGCAGTGGCTTCTGCGAGGAGTCTTTAGACTCGGTTTCTTTACCTGTAAAACGGCTCAGTGTAGGGGAACTTTGCTTTTCCATAAAACCGAGGAATCATGAGGTGGTCACTGTGGAGAGCTGAAGTGGCTTAGTGCAGGCCCTGATAAAATGCCTCGCTCCTAATAAGCTTTTGGGAAAAGGGTAATTATTCCTACTATGTTTTTCTATTTTTCATTATGTAGTAACTAATTCCTGAACCTACGTGAATGCTGCTTTGGTCCAGGACTATAAGCTGCCTTTACTTGACAAGCCCTTGTGAGGCTCTGAAAGGAGAAGGCTGTGTCCCAAGAGGCAAAGCTGTTCCTTGGGTGCTGTCACCCTTGAGTGTTTGTTTTAACTTTTGTTGTTGTTGTTGGTTTTTGTTTGTTTGATTTTTTGAAGGCCAATGTCAAATTTTATATTCAGACATGTGAGATATAAAAAGTGCCACTACCACAAGTAATCCTAACATAGTCCCCAGCTCCCTCAAAACCTGTCCTAGAAACATCCTAAGATTTCAACATTCAAGAATTAAACTTTTGTTTGGTTTGCTTGTTCACTGCTGTTTGCCTAGTTATTTAATCAGCCTGTTTCCTGGTATGAAAAAAAAAAAGTTAATGGAACTGAAGTTTCCTCAGGGTTAAACTGTGTTGCTCTTCCTTCCAGAAATCCAGGTTACTACAGGAGGGGCTAATCGCTGCATAATGAAGCACGGGGACAGTTCGCCCCTCCGCTCCTACCTCGGTCTGTGACAGTGAATTCCATGTGTGTGTGGTGCCCAAATCTCTCCTCACCCGGGTCCGGGCCCGCGCGGCTGACAGACCCGGGAGAGCCTCGAGCGGAGCCGCGCGCGCTTTTCCCGCCGTGGGCCGCGGGCCGCGCGAGCGCCAGGAGGGGGAGACTCGGCGCCGCTCATCTCCGGCCGCGCGAAGTCGCCGCGGCGCGAGCAGGGGGCGGGGAGAGCGCGCGGCCGGGGCGAGGAAAGTTCTCCACCTCGAAAGTTTCACCTGACGGGGCGGGGGCGGGGCGGGGCGGGGCGGGGCGGGGGCGGGGCGGGAGGAAGCGCGACCCCCGCGGGGCCAGGCGTGGCGCGCGGGCGGCAGGAAGGGCGGGGGCCGCTTTCCCCTCAGGGAGTGCCGGGCCCCCCGCGGCGGTCCTCCGCGGACGAGGCGCACGGGCGGCGCGCGAGACCCGCGGGCACGTGCTGGGCGGGCGCCTCGGTCGGGTCGCCCGGCGGTGCCTCCTGCCTCGACGCGCCCGGGCCGCCGCGGGCCGCGCGCCCGAAGCCCGGCTGAGTCACCCGCCCGGCAGCGCGCGGGTGGGAAGGGGCGGGGGAGCGCGGCCGGCGGGCGGGCGGGGCGCTCGGCTGGCCCGGCCGCAGGTGACCCGGAGGCTCTCGCCGCCCGCAGCGCCCCGAGCGCTGTGTAACCAGATGCGGAGCCCAGCGGAGGGCGCGAGCCAGATGCGGGGCGACAGCTGACTGGAGGCGGGGAGCGCCGAGCGCGCGGGTGGTCCCTGCGCGGCTGACTTCTGCTCTGCGGGTTCCTGGGCTCCGCAAGGTAAAACTACAGCCCCCTCGCATCCCGCACCCCACCCCTCGCCCCAGCGCCTCTGCTTTCTTTGTTTCCCTGAAGAGACCTACAGAAGGCAAGCCCGGGGGGGTGGGCGAGAGTTTCGGGGCTTTGGAAACTGAAGGCATGTGGCCGCAGCGGGGAGTGGAGGGGGTGGAAAGTAGAAGGGGGCTTTTGGTTTTAGGGGGCTGCTTCTGACGGTCACCTGTATGACTCAGGAGAGAGGGGCCCGCTGGAGTCGGGGGTGAGGTGATGTCTGTTTGGGCCGCGCAAGTTTGAGGCTGCGATCTGACTCAGCCCTTACAAAAGGGATCCCGTCGCTCTGCCCCGGGGGATGCAGCCGGCGGGCTTGGAGCTGAGCTGCCTGGTCCCGACCCTGCTTTATCTGGCTTTGAGGGTCCTTCCAAGGGACAGGTGTTTTTCTGTGAAGGTCTGAATTCTTCCTTTTCAGCCAATACCCAGGGCTTGTGATCCATCATTTCCAGTCGTACCTTATCTCTCCTGGGCTCTTTGGAGGACATCTGTCTTACTGGGTGAAGACGATTATAACCAGAGGCTACCGATGATAGCCAGAGGCAGTCTGCTTCGTACCGGTACTGACCCAGTAATTAAAGCACCAGTGAAATACTTTCACTGTCTATTGCCAATGGAGAATTTACTCCAGAATAGTTTCCTCTTTCCTACCTTTTTCGTTTTTAAAGAGCCATTTGCTAATTTGTTACTTGGCAAGGGTTCCAATGGCTCACGCATGAATAGTTGCCTAGTGTATTTTACCTTATCACAGTTTTATGTTCAAAGGAGCCCTGAAGCTGAATGAAATATTGTCAACTCTCTTAGGCAAAATAATCAGGATATTTTAATTGCCAAGTTAAGATGGTCGATGAATGTGAGAGGATTGTAAAAACTGACATGACAGAGAGTATAGATGATCTGGACCCTCTGCTGAATTTTAAAAAGACTGTTCACATTTTGTAGAGTTGGGTGGAGGTTTATTCTGTCAGACACATGCACATTGCCATGTAAATGGATTCAGAAAAACGTTATTTTTCTTTACAGTTAAAACTATTATAGCTGACTAATGAATTTTTTCTGCATGAAGATGATCTAAAAATGATGTACATCATCGTTCTCTGTGCCTCTGGTACATAAATTGTGCTTTTTATGTAAACTGTAAGTGGTGCTTGGATTATTTACAGGTACATCACTTTCCTTTCTGGCTGTAAGCTTATTAGGCTTTGTTTTGAACATGTAAACTTCCATAATGGAACAGAAGTGAGGTGTTTTGGTTCCAGTCATAGACTGCAAGTGTTTGGTGTATTCGATGTTCATCCTTTTTGAACTGCAGTAAATTTCGTTTACATCACTCGTAAGAAATTTTTGTAGTACCAAAAATGTGTCTGATTGCCTATAAAATATACTGGTGTTATAAAAAATTTGTTCGGGTTTCAAGCCTGTAGTTATTAACGTAAAAAATATATTTGGATTTTAACATGATGTCATTTATAACAAAAGAAGATGATCTGCTAACTACTTCTTTTTCAAAGATGGCTTTGTTCTTAATACACTGCAGTAAGGGATTTATATTTAGATGTAAGTGTGTGCCTTCAGAGTTAGTGGACAAGGTTTATCTGGATGATAAAGATGTACAAGACTAACCATAGCCAGGCAGTATGAAAACTCATAACTAGTATTTTCATGACTTTTAAATCTACCTCTCTAAGCACGAAAAATGCCCTTCTCTTATAAATTCCTTTCAAGACTATTCAAACTTAGGTCCCACAGCAATCTTAAAAAAACAATTTAAATTATTTGAATGAGAATTAGACTAAGAAATATATTTTTAAAATTAACTTCTTTAGCTCTTGGCAAAAAATAGTCCAAAATAACATTAGCTTAATTCTCCTTCCTCAAATATGGTTATCTCGAAACAAAGTGAGTAACTCAAAAAATCATCTCAACACATTTTCTCTACATGGCTGCATCAGTGCATGACATATGCACAGCTCTCCCTGTACATTCAGAGCACCTCTCATCTCTCTGACCTCTTCTTCTTCACTCTTTCCTCTAATTTGGTCAAAGATGCTTCTAAACCTTTCTGTACCCCACTTTCTTCAGTCCAATTTATGGTGTCTTCCTCATTGTCACTAGACTTAATGTTTCTCACAAAACCATCTATGCTTTGTTTCCCTCACCATCCCCTAACATATTTCTTTGAGCTGCTGTTCATAGAATACTGACTTTCCTAGTGCTGCCTAAGGGAAGAAAATAAGCAAACTCAAATACTGGGGAGTTAACCTCCTTTTCCACACTGCTGTATGTTGAAATTGGAGTCTTTGGCACTGAGCTCTCAGGACAGTTTCCTCACGAGCTTTGCTTTGTGCAAAATAAATAGTCACCACTTAGTAATAAGTGATGGATATACGGACTACTGTCAATTCGGGATCACTTTGATTCCCTGTTCTTAACAGACAGTTGCTGCCAGGCCCAGATTTGCCCACCAAAAATAGCTAGGAACTGTATGTTCAGCATCATGTGTGTTTAGTACTAGGCAACATTTTTTAAAAGAAAGAAATTAAATCTCTGCCCTTGAAGAGTTTGCCATCTAGGTATACAGTTAAATAACATAAATAGATAAAAGATCAATAGCTGTTAAAAAGATACCACACTAAGACCCTTAATTATTAAGGGAATATCACACGAGACTGACAATATTAGAAATCATCCTATTTGCTATCAAATAAATTTTCAAACTGCTTCTGAATGTATCGTCTTTCTGATACTACAGCACCTTATGAGATAGACATAGCTATACAGATATCTTAACCTCCCTGTGTTATACACAAGAGATTGTATGCTTGAGCCTAGCCCTGTTTAACTACACAGCATCATACCACCTCTGCCCAGCCATCAATGGAGGTTAACTATTTGAAGCACTTTCCATTGAGACATGGTTGGAATTCTTAGGTTAGAGATAAATGATGACTATAACATTTATAATCTGAGGTTTTTCTCATATTCTCTGCCTTCAGTTTTCTTTCCCTCTCTCTTTTTCTGGTAAAGCATACCCAAAAAAAGACTCCAATCTATGTGTGGGGCATTCTTTTCCTGTTATCAGATTAAGAGCTGTGAGTAATTTTTTAATCTATCCTTTTATCAGAAAACCCATTCTCAGATATCTCTTCAGCTGTGTTTAACAGTTTAGTATATTGTGTTGGGGGTTGTTTCAATAAAAAACATCTAGTAAAATTTGACTACTTTGCTTTTCAAGAGACAAAATGAAGAAAGTGTTTTTATAAGCTGTAAAACATAAATTTAGAGAAAAATCACATGTGTAGTAGTTGTGGCAGGAGGCATGAACACGATGAAATTTTAAAAGGCAGTTAACTGACAAATTGTATGCCCAGGTATAAATATTTTTTCTGTGATTGTGTACATTTGTACAAGTATGCTTATACAGGTTATTCTGTTGTTTTTAATTTCTATAACAAATTATGTAGCAATAGGGCCGATTGAAATTGTATGGTAATCCACAGAATTTGAAAATGTATGTCTCCTAATATGACCACTATAAAATATGGTGAGAACAGTTACAACATGTGATCTGAGGATCCCAGGTCTTAGTAATGCCAGATTCCTTTATTCTAACAATGTAATTGATGGTTTCGTCATTAAGGATCATTTGTTGAGTACTTACCAGGTATAATTCTAGATGCTGGCAGTGCATAGAGAATTAAAGAGATGAAAATGTGCGATTTCATGAGGCGCTGTTCTATATAGAGAAAGGCACACAATAAATAAATACACAAATGAGTTGTATTTGAGGTAGTGATAAGAGCTGCAAGTAAGAATAAAGTGATGAAGGAGATTGGAGAATGTCAAGGACAAGAAATGGTGGAATGGTGAATGGTGACCAAAAACTTAAGTAGGGGGATCAGAAAAGGCCTCATTTCTGGTACTTCATGGAGAAAGGGCCTTGGTACTTCATGGAGAAACGGCCTTGGTTCTACAGTACTTGATGGAGAAGAGAAAGTAAGCCATGTAAATATCTGAATCAGGGCTTCTACTTTTCACTCTTGAGGGTGCCATTCTTATTTTGTTTTCTCTGGAATTATGCAGTGCACAGCCTGCATAGCTATACATGAGGTCCCTGATTTTTTTATGGGAAATACCTGGACAGTGCCTCCTGTAGTTCACTATAGTCTCAAAAATAAAGATGAAGCTGTGTATGTCATCTGTTGGTTTATGGAATTTGGAAGAAGAGAACTTGTGATATTTTCTTGCATTTGCCTGATCCCAGTCCCACATCCCATCCTTGATCAGTGGTATTGCTCCACTGAATTGTCCTTCTTATTTTCTACAGTGTCAACTTGGTCCAACAGAATTTGTTGAGATTAAAATCCACAGCCTTTGTCATAAATTCCTCCATAGAGACAGCAAAAAAAAAAAAAAAAAAATTGCTGTTGGTGTGCAGCTTCTCTATGAAGTGCACTTCTTTTTTTCCTTCTCTCCTTTTCCCTTTCCAGGATTAAACCACTGAGTTGGATTTTCTTCCTTTCCCCCTCCATCCTGTCTCTATCCTTTATCAAGGTTTGTAAACAAGTAATCTAAATGAGTAAAATGAACCATTTCACCAATGACCAGCAACCTGTTTAGAAAAAACCTTTCCTAAGAAGGGGCAACCAACACTTGGTATTATCAGAGTTGCCATCAAGCCCAGGTGTAGGATGGGCTCATATGTCTTTCAAGATTTTCAGGAGAAGCTCAAAATCCCTCAATTTTAAAATGTTGACTCAACTTCTTTAAAACGCTTTGCAGGTCAGAGAGACAAAAACTTTGTAGCCAGATGTGGCTCCTAGTGATCCTGTTTGCAGTCTTGACTACTTTACCTGCCAGATGGCCCTCTGTGCCACCTTTACCTGCTGTTTAATTCAGCAGCATTCATGGCCAGAGAGCCCCAGCACTGCTTCTGTGAAATATTTATCTTCTAG